CATACCTTCATCATTCTAGAATCAGTTTGGAAACCTACTGTACTCGACATAAACAGTAAAATTTGGATTTCCAACGCCAATGTTACGTCAGTCACTGTTTCTGTATGGATCGGAAATTTGGCGCTTCACGGGAAGTATTTCCAATAGGTTCTTTACTTTTATCAAAAAGTTGAAGTATTTTCTGTTAATTCATAGAAATCTTCTCATGAGGACCATCTTTTGAAGTACGGGATTTTGATAAGCTCTCACATTCGCTGTACTAACCGGTAAAGGGAGGAAGAGATATCAATGCGTAGTCTTTATTATTCCTTAGTAGATAGACATCGTGAAATAATTTTGTTGTAAAATAGTTTGTATTGAGAAAAGACGCTTCTATTCTTGGGCATAAACTAGATATTTATGTACTCTAGTTCTATAGCTTACTGCATGTACTTATTAACAGACCAAAAGCTTTATATTCAAACCCTTCTTTGGCGTTTATTTTTGCCTCTCTGAAGTAGTTTACCTTCCTCTTCGCCAAAGCTCAAGTCTTCTTTGTCAAATGTTACATTTCTGTTTCTATTTCGTCTTTAGAATGGCCTGTGTACTGGAATTACACCTATCAATCAAACTAGGAAGCTGATTACTACACAGCAAACTGGATAAACACCAGACGGTTAAAATCAACCACCGCACTACGCTTGATTATTCTAGGCGTCAGTTATTTCCCGGTAATTAATCACTCCTTAATAGAGCTATTCAGTGGGTAGCAAAAATTGAGTGAAGGGCTGCCTGAACGCTAAGAAGGGATTGGCTTTTTCAAGATTACTAAAATTACTCTCTGTTGACAGTCATCAAAACCATGAAATCTAGGTTCATTAATTTCTGTTAACCAAGCTGAATTATCTAAATTAAATCATTCTCTATAATTTACTTCACAGTAAAATTGAAAACTTTGATGCTGTTTTAGTCTTACATTGAAACTTCATGTTTTCAGAATTTATTGATATGATGTTTTCATTTTGCAGTAGGAATAACGCTTATTTTGATGTGATTAATTGTCTTCATGCGAGTTTTGATTTTCCCGTTGACTGATTAGATAGAAGCGTTTGGCGTCGGCTTCTAGTGTGGTGGACGCTTCAACAATGCCTCAGGATTAACTTGAAGTATTTGGTAGATGGTGATTAGCAGTGGAAACCAAGATGCACATTTCGTCCTGTTCGGGACTCTTCAGTGGACGCATCTGCATTCCCCCGTGAGTGGTGGTGATCTCCCTGTGACTTGAACCCAGTGGCGGCTATCTTTTCAAACGGTAAAGCGTTAACCGCTAAACCACCTGGCCCACGAGGACCATCTCTTGTGTAATCAGAATTAGTTATTATTCTTTTTCAAGTCATTTTTAATTTTCCCCTTGGTTGATTGGACCGCAATGTTTGGCCTTTGTTGAGATGTCGGCCCCTAGTACGAACGCTTTGGCGAAGATTCACGATTAACATGAAATAATTGTTCTAGTGGATAATGCTGTCTCTTGAAACGATGGTTACTGGGATTCTAGTCTCAGAGGGATGAACATCATTCACTTCGAAATCCTGCAGGTATATCAATTTAGCGAGTCCAAAATAGGATCACCGTCCACAAAATGATTTTTATTATGATGTAATCATCCAAAATGGTGTAAATTTATAAGAATAACATGATAAATAGTGAAGTGGTGATATAAGTAACTTGGGGCAACTGACGCACACATGCATATTGGTTTCATCTTATTCGACTTCCTGAGTGAAGCCGAACCACATAAAACTCTAGAGAACCAGGTCTCAAATGAGAGAAATGACCGTGCGATGTTAATGTTAATCAGTTCAAGTATTGGTTTGGTAGGGATTTTGTTTAATTGCATGGAGGATTTCATCATGAGCTGACATTAGTTAGAGAACCATTGGAAAACCTGGGAGTACTGGACAGCTGTTTCGTCCTAGTTTGGGACTCTTCAGCAGTACGCGCCCACCAGGATTCGAACCCAGGACCTTCTGGTTACAAGGCGAACTCGTAGACCATTGAGCCACTGGGACCCGATCCAATGGTCCTTGAATTCTAACTTCTGCCAATTCATGACATAGCGCGACCATTTCGCAATGTCTTCTTAGATGAGTTACTGTCTCATCTTCAATCTGCTGTACCCTACTGGTCACGGCTTCCCACTAGAACTTCAGGTTAACTGCCTGAATAGGGCCAGTCACTAGCGAGCATCAGATTAATTAAAATCCCTACCAAACCGATACTTGAAAATTAATCTGATGCTCACTAGTGACTGGCCCTATTCAGGCAGTTAACCTGAAGTTCTAGTGGGAAGCCGTGACCAGTAGGGTACAGCAGATTGAAGATGAGACAGTAACTCATCTAAGAAGACATTGCGAAATGGTCGCGCTATGTCATGAATTGGCAGAAGTTAGAATTCAAGGACCATTGGATCGGGTCCCAGTGGCTCAATGGTCTACGAGTTCGCCTTGTAACCAGAAGGTCCTGGGTTCGAATCCTGGTGGGCGCGTACTGCTGAAGAGTCCCAAACTAGGACGAAACAGCTGTCCAGTACTCCCAGGTTTAATCAATTCAATCTCGCTAGCAAGTACCAATGATTAATGTGAGCAGTATTCAGCTACTTATATCAATCGATTAGTAGTATATGGTATTATGCATAATTGACATACGTATATATATAGTTTTCTAGAGAGTCACTATTACTGTGCAGCATAGTTATTATATAGAGTATTTCTACAACATGTGATAATAAGTCAAGAGTATAACTAGCAGCTTACATCATCCAAAGTATGGTATTTATAGTTCAGTATTAGAAATAAATCTTTCTGTGTTCTGATATTTAAGAATCTCAATCAGGGATTACATTTACTCTTCATATTTTTTACGAATGCATACATAATTTAGCCTTAGAAATATATGTGGATTGTCTTCCATTTGACATCTTGGATTTATGAAAAAATGTGCGTAAGTGGTTTCATCATCCTTAGGCAACTGAAATTATGTGTAGGAAAAAGAATGCCTAGCTTTTCATACAAAACTCTTGGGTATTATGATTGATTGTATGATTTGTCACAGCATGAAAGATATGTTAGTTCAACTTATTTCTGAACAAATTGTTTAGAATATTTTTGTGACGATGAAAAGAGGGGGATTTTAAAAATGCAAAATTAGTGTTTTGCAGAGCAATCTGAGACGGATTAAATATGCAGAACTATGAACAACAATGTATAATAGTTGGGTATCAAGCTATTAAGCGTACTCAACAGTAAGTAGTAGATACTGTTTAACGGATCAGTCATTGATAACAGAAATAAAGCCTAGGTCCATGATCCACTTTCTGAAGAAGCTGAGGTATTGTTAGTCTGCTCTTTTCAGATTTTTAGTTTTCACACTTTGTGAGTTCTTCAACCATAATTTTCTCGACTATAATACTCTCAAAACTGATTGAACGCGAGCTCTGTCAGGTAAGCAAATCACTAGTAAAAAGAGATTTATAGTTAATCTTTAGGTATTACAACTTGTTAATTTGGATAGCTGCTTCATCCTTGATAACTCTGACTGTTGTTATTTTTTTGTGTTTTTCACTATGAACAGTTCTCAGTATTGCTTCAACTGTCTTATAGAGTATTTTAAATCAATCAGAACTTTTTAAAATTCTCATCATGTTAAATCATATGTTAATCACCTAATAAACCTATTAATTCTATTAATTTTACATCACTCTCCATGATCTGCACATTCTATGAACCACTTTATATATGATACGGTTTTCCAATGGTTCTCTAGCTGATGTCAGCTCATGATAAAATCTTCCAACCAATCAAACAAACAAAATCCCTACAAAAACAATACTTGAAAATTGATCTGATGCTCACTAGCGACTGGCCCTATTCAGGCAGTTAACTGGGGTTCTAGCGGTACGCCTTGACCAGTAGGGTATGGCAGGTTGAAGGTGAGGCAGTAACTCATCGAAGCAGACAATACGAAGTGGTCGCGCTATGTCATGAATTGGCAGAAGTTAGAATTCATGAACCATTGGATGCGGATCCCAGTGGCTTAATGGTCAACGAGCTCACTGGAAGGTCGTGGGTTCGAACCGTGGTGGTGGGTGCGTACTGATAAAGAGTCCCAAAGTAGGACGAAACAGTCGACTATCCAGTACTCCTTAGTGGTTTTCCAATGGTTCTCTAACTGATGTCAGCTCATGATGAAATCCTCCAACCAATATGAAACGATTTGTTTTATCATTTGATATTGAAATATGACAGTAACTGTAAAAGTTTTAATCGCATTTCACATCATTATTATTTTAAGTATTCAAGTATCCTTGCATAGATTTCCTCACAGGACATAGTTTCTCGAAATTCATATATATATATATGACTGTAAATTAGTTGAAAGGAGTCACTTCACTGAATAGTGTGTTCCTAAACTTTGACCTTTTGGGTTCGACCTCATACAGAGTTTTCGGCTCTGAAAGGTAGCTAAACTGATGAAAACAACTATTAGGGCGACGTTAGGCTTTCAACAAGTTTTAAGCTGACTTGGCTTTAGTACAAAAGTAATGCGATACTTCATAAATTCAACACTGCCGAAGGCAGTCTATTTCCCAATAATTTTTCTTGTTCCTTGCGTCTTGAGGGGAATATACAGATAAAACCCTTGAAATTTCAGTATCTGTGGTGTCATTTTTACGAGATGGCCTAATGCCCAATATTTCCTCTTACCCAGGTTTACTATCACTTAGGTAAATCAGTAGGGGTTTCAGAATGTGTCAGTCAGGAGTCGAACCTAGACCTCCAGCGTGATTGAGGAGTATTCTACCATTGAACCACCAACGCATAAATTATTCGAAGATATAGAGAGTACTCAGTATTCATAACTAAAAAAATGGAAATATTGTACTCTTATTTTGTCAAACATCATTACAGTCTAATTCTTTTTCATTATTCAACATTTTCAGTTTTGATAGCAGCAGTTTTGAGGCTTAATTCAGAAGGTGTTAATTGAAATGTAAACGATTTTTATTATAATTTGTTTTTGTTTTTTTGATACAAAATATAAATAATATAAGGATACTGTTATCTGTATGCATTCGACGGCTGAACCGTTCTCTACACCTTACAGGGGTAGTTAACTGGAATGTCGAAAATTTCAACTCTAATCGAAAGAATTTTGTTTCAATCTTTGAATTAGATGAAGCAGTAAAACTGAGAAAGCAAGAAATATTGACGTTGTGATTGCTAATCCTCTCATGCATGTGCAGTGTAGTTGATAACCAGAAGAGTCTATTGGATAAGCAGATATGTATATATATATATATATATCTATTTCCGTTTATACAGAAGGATTTGTGCTGTTCCTCTGATTGTTATTAGGGATGGAACTGGACGAGTCAATCAATAAATGATTGTATAAATGTGAAGCACTATAATCCATTAAATGTTTATTGAAGTAAACACTTGGATTACTAGTACTACTAATAGAATCAACAGTGCTACTACTAGTACACTCGGTGTGTGAATGTTTCCTTTCTTGTACAGATGATTTATTCATTATTACATGTGATTCTGTCAGATTCCAGGGTGAAACATTCATGCCAGATGGTGGTGGAGGAGGGGGAGGAGTAGTTGTTGTCGATGAGACATCTTCACTTTCATGATTACTGCCTAAAATTTTATCACGTAAACGTTTCTTCTGTTTCATTCGACGATTTTGAAACCATATTTTCACTTGAGTTTCTGTAAGCCCTAAATCTGAGGCAATTTCAATTCGTCTTGCTCTTGACAGATAACGATTGAAATGAAATTCTTTTTCTAATTCTGTTAGCTGTCTTGTTGTAAAATTAGTACGTCCAGTTAAAGAATTAGTAGCTTCATAGTTTAAATTGATGTTCAACTCTGAAGAGTCAATCATATGTTTACTTTGAAAGGTATTTAACATTTCATTGTTTAAGGCATTTGTAGAATAATTCATATTTGCAGGTGATATGAAACTGCCTGTATCATAAGCATAATTTTTAAACACTTGATTAGCATTATTGTGGTCAGGAAGTTGAGACATCAGTAAAGGAGGATTTTTGCCACATTGTATAGTATTATTTCTATTCGACTGACTAGTTTCTTGAAGATTGGAATCATTGAATGAGAAGTTTGTAGAATGAGGTGAAGTAATAGGCCTTGAAGTATCGTATTTTTGAGCTGAACTTGTTTTGGATGTAGGTATATCTGAAAGGCAAAGAGAGCAAAATGAACACGTATAATTAATTAATTAATTTCTACCAGTGACATTTTCAAATGTCTCGACTAAAGGTTGGTTCGTTTGTTGAACTTATGAAAAACTAAATTTTTAAAAACCAAGAACAGTTGAACAGATATTTTCTTTTGTTTTGGAACACTTAAGAACTGTTCATCACAGCGTTCACATCATGATATTGAAATAGTGAACTTGCATACAATGTGGCATGATTTTCGACTTTTAACGCTCTGCGATATAACGACGATGTAAGATAGCATAATAAGTGAGTAAATATTCCTATGCTCAACCTGGTTGGCTACCGAATTTGTAGTCAATGACTGGCACTTGATCCATTTTATAAACACATCATCTATAAATGCTAGTACTGTTATTATCTCAGAGTCATTTATTTGACAAATATATAGATTTTAGGGTGAATTTAGTCAAGAATTAATATTAACTAGACTAAAACGAGTTGACCACGGATTGATATCAGTTAGAGAACCACTGAAAACCAGGGAGTACTGGACAGACAGCTGTTTCATCCTAGTTCGGGAATCATCGGCAGTACACACCCACCACCAGGGTTCGAACCCAGGACCTTCTCATTACAAGGCAAGCTCATTTACAATTCAGTCACTGGGACCTGCCGATCCAATGGTTAGTGCATGAATTCTAACTTCTACCAATTCGTGATACCTTTAGCGCGATCACAAACCAATGTCATCGGTGGGACATCCATCCTCACACTTGACTGGATGGACCTCATTGATCATGATTTCTTACTAGGACTCCGGGAAACTCCGTGCTTTAGCAAGTCACTAGCGAGCACCAGATCCGTGATCAACTCGTAAAAACAAATCTAATCCTTACAAACCAACTATATAAAACGTAATGAAACTTAATCTGCAAATAAATCATTCCGTATCACTGAGTGCTATACAGCATTGTAGAATAACATTCTACTGCAGCAGTGGTTCAGCGGTACAGTATTTGCCAACCACGCATGGGGTCTCAAGTTCGGTGACTGACCAACGCACTCCTAAACATCACTAAACTGGCAGTAAAGTCGGTAAGGAGGGAAAGTTGGGAATGAAGTTAGTAACCCCACCCGGGGAAAATAAAACCACTGTTCCTGGAACTTCAAAGCTCTAACTTGAAGACGTAAGTTATACTTGCAACGTAAAGGAATGAAATAATAATTAATTCTGCCATTATACCAAAGTTCCATTTCAATATTATTGAAGGGATTTCCTGTTAAGTCAAAATGTCATTCTTTACAAATAGAGAAACATCGCTACATGCCTATTACATGACATTCAAACCTGTAATTTCTTATACAGTTTGAAAGTATTCGATACTACTTAATGTAACAGATCTTGTTGGATGAGAAGGAAAAAAAGAACATTTTGATTTTGAAAACGTCCCCAAAAAGCAGTTGCATATTAGTTATGTAAATCTTTAATTTTCCGTTCGTTTAGAGCTATCAGAGTATTCATTACAAGCCAGCACTAAATGGAGAATCAGTGAAAACCATCAAGTGTAAGACAGCTGTTTCATCCTAGCTTGGGACTCTCCATAAGTACAGAAGCACATCTGTTTCAATGGTTAGTGGTAGTGCTATACGACTCACTGACAGAAATCAAAACTCACGGGTCACACACTCGGTTCTAATCCACTGGCTGACTGGTCAATGGGCTCGCCTAGTAACCTGAAACTTGTAGGTTTGATCTTCGATAGAATTACTAGTGCACACCTCTTAAGATTCCGATACGTCATGATTTCTAACGACTCCCTAACTGATTTTGTTTATGAAATTAATTGAAATATCCAATAATCTCCAAGAAAAAATTCGAACGAAAAAAAGTGTCACTGAATTTGCGATTGAAGTTATCCTGATTCTTACTTACTTCTTTCAGAAATGTATAATAAAATATAATTCAAAGGCTCAGCGATTCTCAGCATTCGAGTTTTGTTAATTATGGTTTAATTATCAATAATAAAGCTTTATTTTAGACAAAATGTTAACATGTAGTGCCTGAAATTTTCAGAGTATTTAGCTGCATAATTCTATATCTTCTTCATACAAGGGATGTACAAGTAAAATAATAATTTATGGTACATCACATGATGCGTCGGTGGCATAGCGGTTAGGACGCTCGCCGACCATGCTTATCGTCCGGGGTTCGATTCCCGGCCGACGCACTCCTTTACCTTGCTAAGCCAGAAATAATGCTGGTGAAGTCCTATGTTCCACTGGGGAACCTGAAGGAAAAAAACATGATGCAATATTGTTTCGTATGAAGAAAGGTTCAATTCCCTACATTGTTTTTGTTTCCTTTCCGGAATTGTACAGCATTTTGTTGAAAACTAATTTAAAAATGTATGCGATTTCATATAGGGATTTCATGGATTAAAAAAAAAAGTAAGAAATATAGAAGATTTTAAGCACTGAGATGGATAGAGATTTTAGTGACTCACTGATTTAACCAGACTGCTGCTATGAAATAAAGCTTAACCACTTCAGCTGTCTAATATGTTTCCTGCTGGAGTTGATGACTTCAAGGTCAGAGTTAGTATGCACTTTCTTAAAAGGTGGTACTAATTAATAGCTTTCATGAATTAGTTAGTGGGGATTTAATTTATTTCGGGTTTGATGACGGATTGATATCATTTAGAGAGCCACTGGAGACCAGGGAGGATTGAATAGCTGTTTCGCCCTATTTCGGGACTCCTCAACAGCACCCATGCACTGGGTTTCGAACTTGGGACCCTTAATTTAAAAGGCAAGCTTGTTAAAGACCATTAAGCCATTAGGACCCAATCCATTGATCCATGAATTTCAACTTCTACCATTTCCTGATTTTAGCGCAACCACCAGTTAGTGTCATCCGTGGTGAGCATTTGTTCTCAAACCTATTCAGATTTGGTATCAGTAGGCACAAAAATCAGTCATTGGATGTTAAAACTTTGACACTAAAATATCAGATTGATTTAATTCAATGCTTTCATTGTACTATTGTCCTTTAAGACTATATAACACCACTAGTTACTACTCACTGACTCCGACTGTCAAGTAAGTCAGTAAGTCAGTCAGTGTTTATTCATCTCATAGAAACAAAAAAGATTATCTAACTCAATTTAATTTGTATTACTTTTAATAAAAAGGGAAAATAGAAAAACAAAAGTTCACCATTTTGTTTTCCTCTTCAAAATTTTAATCAACACTGACACTGTAGTCGAAAGTTGTTGGTTCGGTTCTTGTCATCCTAGTAACTACTATGAATAAAACTCAGTTTAACGGACTAACTGACTGATGACTAGTTAATTCTGAATAAACTAAGTAATTTGACAAAGTGATAAATATTTAATTTTACTAATGATTGGTGAAATGAGAGGATAGGAACTCTTAGAAATCAAATCAATAAAACTGTTTGTTTTTGTTTGTTTTTTGTTTTTGATACCTAGACAAGAAAGAAAACCACAGGTAGATGGTGTAATTGTGTGTTGAGATTATTTTATTATTATTATTTTTTTCAATTGTATTACCTCTTCTCTATCTTGTCTATTTCATTCTTCCCTTCTTTCTTGTTAACTTTTCTTGATATTAAATTAAGGATATATGTATCCCCTTAAATCTAGTGACTGGATGGATGCCTTAATGTGGACTGTTTGGTTTTTCCTAGGATTTTTCTTAATTTTAAGGACTATCTCTTTATCTCATTCTCTCTTATTTCTGTATTTCTCATCTGATTTAGAAAGAGACATACAAAGAGAGAGAGGAAAGTATATCTCTTGTGACCGTAATGAGATGTCATCAAATTATAATTGTCATCATCATTATCAAATTAACCTACTCACTAGTCTGTATTTTTTTTCCTTAGACAGGTGAGTGATATTCAGAAACAATAGAAGAAATGACATATGACAAAAGATGTGTTATCACTTTGGTTGTAAAAAGTGTATACAAGTACATCCGTACATACGTTCACTCTAAATACACACACGTATCCTACACAACATACAGTCGAATTGAATAGACATGATACACTATATAACTAAGATTTACTGAAAATTAACTCTAAAAGAGAGCGTTAAACAATCCACTGTGTTGTTTTACTGAGGTAAAATTTATACTTTTATTCATTAAAAAAAATTAATTAAATTTGAATTTATAATAGTAAATCATCATCTAAGTAGTAACAGGGTTTTCTGTAAACAAATAAATTCACTAATTGATTAACTAAATTTCCTTTTCTTTTTCATCATTCCTCTACGTTCCAGGTGGAGCATTATATACGTGGGACTTTGAGCTTTAAGGATGGAAGTTTCAATAGCGGTGAGGTGGGGTTTTTTTCTTCTGCGGAGTGGAACTTCTAGTCTGACATTTAACCTTTCATTATTTTTAATGACTTACGACCGGTTAGGCGAGGTGTAAGAGTGCGTTACTCCTCAGGGCGTGGCTAACGGGTATTCTGCGCCTGAATTACCGATGCACAAATTAACGTCAACATTATTATTATTACTATTACTATCATCTGATTGTTTCCTGTATGTTTGGCGGTGGGAATATATATATCAAGAATCAGTGGAATTTAGGATTCATGGAGCCATGTTCACTCCATTCTAGTGGCTAAATGGTCAATGGACCAGCCTCATCACCTGAAGGTCGTGGTTTCAATCCTCGATGGGGTCATGGTTACTTGTTGCTAAAAAGTTCCAAACTAGGACGAAACATCTGTCCAGCATTTCTTTCTTGGTTTTTAATGGTTCTCCAACTCAAATCAGCCCATGATCTAATGATAATAATAATCTATTTAGTTTTTAGAAGAAAGAGTAATGTGTTCATTATACTTCCAACTTCAGTGAACTTTCTTGAAACTATGTATTCCTATCTGCTAGTCAATTGATCTGAAGATGATAGCATTGACTGTGGATTCATACGTTCAGTAGGAGGCATAGTTCGTATCTTATCATTAAGGTGGTGTAA